ACTCTCTGGTTCAATACAACATGTCTGTAGTGTACTCACTCTCTGGTTCAATACAACATGTCTGTAGTGTACTCACTCTCTGGTTCAATACAACATGTCTGTAGTGTACTCACTCTCTGGTTTTATACATCAGAGCAATAAATACCAACTTAGACCTTTTATAACGTATCCTCTGATGCATCAAATCATCACAAAAATTGCATTGAACTAAGTAGCCATCTTTGTTCATGTGGGACCCATAACCTTACGCATACATGGTGTGATGACCACCAACCAATTCAAATACCGTACTTCCCTGAGTATAAGCCCACCCTCTGTTTTTAGACAATTAACAAGTTGAGGGCATCCCGATTGTAGGCCCGGGGTGTTTTTACCGGGCATCGATGACATTTATTACAAATATGCATGTAAAAAGTGTATTTCATTGGAATCGTGATTGGTACGGTAGTTTTACTAGAAAACTTGCATTAATTTCAGAGTACATGGCGGGCGAACATACGAAACATGGTTCGGTTCGCATCTTTTCTATTCTGTTATTTACTGAGAATTCACCCTGATGTTGCACTACTAAAGTAATCCATATTTCTTCTAAGTAGTAGTTTTCGAAACGCCTAAAATATGATCTGAAGTCATGAAAGCTGGTCATAGAACATCATTTTACTTTTCCAAATAATCATGTCCATTGAGACTGTCGTGAACTATTCCAATATCTGACTTGGTTGCGACCATAAAAGATTTAAATACTTCCTCCATCCTCAGTTTACCTTTCAAAAATTGTGAATCAACAGTCTTAGGGAAAAAAGTCACTGTTTTTGGCTCAACAGACCATAGGTTCGCTGAGCCTATGGGATGGGTTTATGTCTTGCGTCTGTCATCCGTCTATCTATCTGTCTGTGCACGACTTCTTCTCAAAAACCGCCGAACCGTTTGACTTTTGGTGTGTGGATGCCATGAATGAGTGTAGATGGTAATTTGTTCATGAAGTCTATCTGCCAAATATTATGCAAATTAGCCCTCCAAAACTCTAAAATTTGTCTGTGCTACTGTGGCGGTTTATAGCGAGCGCCATTTATAGTATGGTGTTGGAATAACTTTGTTTATGAATAAGTCTGTGCGTTCCTGTGTCGGTCAGCATGGCGGTTTAGTGTGTCATGTTCGAATTGTTTCCGTCTGTGTGGGCAGGTCGATTCTTCTGTTAAATCGAATGAATTCCGTCCAAAGACTGAACTAAAGTGGTTATGGATGTTGTGAAACTCTTGGGACATACGAAATCGTGTTTGCGTGGAGTTTAGTGTCTAGCAGAAGTCTTTTCCGAAAGTTGTGGTTGTGTGGATCGACCGCAGAGGGTTGCAGTCTGCTGTTGCCATTGTGTTGAACAAAACTGTGGTTGAACCAAGTATCCAGGTTCCTGTGAGTACAATCGTTGACATTTTGAGTTCTGTACGCCATTATTAACTGTTTCCAGTAGATCGACTCGACCAATTATGTTGTCCCGTCGAGATTTCAACTAAAGTAAAGACTGTTCTTCGTTGTGGGAAAAGTCCAGCCATTCGTATCAGGTGACTTTCTGTTGTTGACATCCAGTCGTACTGACTTGTTTATCGTCTCAGACATCTACCAAACTTTGATTCGTGTGACATTCAGCATCAAGTAGAAAGTGCATAAATTGACTGTGACATTTTACTGTTGTGCATTTCCCGGATCTATGTTGTGATCAAACTTATTATTTTCTATAACGTTAGTCTGCATTTAGTGTAATTTGCCTGTGCTAGCATTGCGTAATATTATCAAGCCAGTGTGTAGTTTGCATTCTGCATGATATTGATTCTGAGGCATCCTATTGTTGTAGTTGATACTTGTAGTGTTGCATGCATAATTTGGAACTTTGTCCTGCTTTGCATGTTTAAAACATTTTGTATTTTGGATGTCTTTAATATTCAGTAGTTGAACTCGAGTGTTATTTTATTATTGAATACTTAACTATTTTCTGTTGATATAAACCTGTGAATATACTATTTCAGTAATCGTGTAGGAATTATTTGTACTTCCCTACTGTTACGGCATTGTAGATTACTGCATTGATTGTATATTATTTGAGCACAAAAGTTGCATTACGATAGTCTTAGTATTTCACAGTTAAGCTAATGTATAGTGTTGTATTTAGTACGCCTTTGTTACTGTAGGACTAGATAAGTAATCTTTTCAATTATAGTAACTTT